TCCTCTTCCTCCTCCTCCTCCTCCTCCTCCTTTTCTTTGAGACAGGGTTTCTTCGTGTAGAGCCCTGGCTGTCCTGGAACTTGCTCTGTGGACCAGGCTGACCTCAAAAAGAAATTCATCTGCCTCTGCCTCCTGAGTGCTGGGATCAAAGGCATGCGCCACCACTGCCTGTCTTAGCAGTTACATTCTTGACATCAGACTAGTGAAGATTCTGTTTTTCTAAACCTCCTTCTAACATTGGAAATTGACATTATTTTATTTTTGTCAAGTTTATAGATTTCAAATGATATCTTATGTTCATTTAATTTGTCCTTTGTAGGGGATCTGAATTTTTTACTTGCATATTGGACACCTAGATTTTTCTTTTGTGAACTATTTATTGACATCCTCTGCTCAGTTATTACTTGTCAGTAGTTTATATATTAAAGCTGTTTATCAGTTACCTGTATGTTTCTCTCTTTACCTTGTTTTGACATCTGTGATTATGATATTGGTTATGATGGAGCAATAGTTTATATACAGAAATTTTATGTTACCATATAAATGTTTAAATTTTTCATTATGGCTTAGGCTTTTGTGACTATGATTAAAATATTTTCATGATGATTAAAGGACTTAATCATGATTAAAATAATTTTAAGGCTATGAAAATAATCATTTTATTTAAGTTTATATCTCAAAACAGCAGAGAGAGAGACAGAGACAGAGACAGAGACAGAGAGGGAGAGAGGTATAATGAACAAAAGGGACATTGTGGCAAACAGTCCCTGTCAGTTAAGTCAGACCCAAACTATTCTCAGAGTTTCTGGACGCAAAAAAGTCCCTTAGATACTACCATGGCCCCTTCCTGAGAGATTTCACTTGTAGGTAAAGTGTAAAAGAGGCATTGAGGTCATAAATAGGGATTTTAGAGGCAAGCCTGTAGTAATTCAGTAATCAGTCAGCATGCATGAGACTTGTTAGAGAACAGGAATTGGAGAGAGGGTTTTCACAAATTCAGGGTTAGGTGGAAAGGAAGTCCACGTAGGAGGCTGAAGAAACTTGCAGTAAGATTTCCTGGAAGCCACAGGACATTTTCAGCACCACATGGTCAGTTGGGTCAAATGTAGCCAAAAGTTCAAGTAAGATAAGAGCAGACACATGTCCATTGCTCTTGGTGTATAACCACCTGGAGTAAGCATGTCTGCGAAGTGGGAGAAGCCAGACCACAAGCAGACTGAGCCTTTGGGATTCGAGATGGGAAGACAAGCTGTTTCTCCAGAAACTTAGTTGTGAAGAAAGACTGAGCTAATGATAGTAAGAGGAGCAACAAATTGAAAGGTGGTTGTTTGGACAGAAGAGTCATAGGAGTGGGCACAGCTTAATGGTAAGGAAGGTGTGCTGAGTGGGAGACAGGTGTGGCTGTGGGTGAGAGTCTAGGACAGGTGGGTGCCACAGGCAGGGAGTCGAGAAGGTGGGAGGGGATCCAGAAGGAGGCAAGAGTTTTGGAGATGAAGGAGGAAATGATGAGTACCTGTAGGCAGGTTGGGTAGAAAGAAAAGTGCTCTTTCCCTTGCAAGGCTGGAAGATGACATCATTATGGGGCCATCTGTCACCTTACTAGACCCAGAACAGAAGGGGTCAATGTCTTGCTCTCCATGTTGACATTTTGCCTCACAAGTACCATCAGGGGCTACCCTTGACTGTAAATAGAGTTGGCAAAGAATCTCTATATTGTTTTCTCTGTTAGTCACTGAATAGTTTCCAGAAATCTCTCCTTCCTTGACTATTTAGTGCATAATGGATTGCTAGAATAATCAACCCACTCAGTTGTAGATGAAGTGACTGATATGGATCATTAAGGACCAGAAGTTTCTGTTACTGCAAACATGGAGTATCAAGAAATCAAAAGAGAATTTCAAATGCTTAGCAGGCCTCTTTTCTGTTTGTGAATGGAGATCGAGTCATCAACGCAGCTGTGAAAAAGCCTCTGGAGATAGAATGTTTCAGGGCATCGCATTCCCAGATCTGGAGTTTATATCTATTGCTGACTTTAAACTCTCACTAATAGGTTTTGATATCCCCAATGTTTTCCACTTATACTCTGGGCTTCCACAACTCAGTAAAAAAAAAAAAAAAAAAAAAAAAAAAAGTAGACCTGAAAAACTGATCCTCTTCCTCCACTTCTTCCTCTTTCCTTTTCTTTTTAACAGTAGCTTTTATACAGTGGGAACTTTCTGGCCTAATTTTCACCACAAATAATTATAAAATGAACCTCAGTTTCGAAGATTGGCCATACATGCTCCTATCCTGAGAGAGTTTACACTTGTTAAAAATCAAGACTGACAGTAACAGGCTAATTATGACTCAGAAATCCCCTGGGAGATTTTAACCGTCCTTTCCTGATGTTCACTTTTCTAAATAAGTTGATTCTCCACCAGATCTCCATTCTTCCTTGAAAAAGGGAGTTCTGATGTAGTTTTAGGAAGCACCACCTTAATATTCCAAGAAGTCAGAGACTCAAGGTCAGACACCTTCTAAAGCCACACACTCCAGGGCTTTTCTTAGGAGAGATGCTAAGGGCAAGAAGGGAAAATGGACTCCGATGGGAAGGATGGATCCCACACAATAGGCAGGACAGCCTGCCGCCGCTGTGAGTGCCCCAGACACTGCTTCTGTCCCAGCTTCCCAGAACACGAAGTGGTCAGCAACACACCTGCAAAGCGATTGTTTCTCTTTCCAGTCACCCTGGCTGACAATCTCAACCGCTCTGTGGTTCCCCCAGGTTGTTGACACCGTGTGATAGGCAATGATGTGGCTGGGGCGGAGAGGTTTGAAGCCACAGGAAGTCACTTCCAGCAGCTCTTTGGATACAACGCATGAGATTTTCTTCCTTCGCCCCTTATGTTCTTGCCCCTGGCCATCTCTGGCTGCAGCAGCCCTGGCTTTGGAGAGGTCTGCCAGGTGGGGGTGGGAACAGGACTAAGCATTCTTAGAGGGCTACCGAAGTTTGCCTTCCTTGGGGACAGTCCCCCTCAGTTGCGTGAAGAACCACACATGCTGGAGCCTGGAGCTCTGAGAAAATGAAACCAAGCAGACTGGTTGTTCTAAGGGCACCTGACCTGTAAAGCAACTTCCACCTGTTGGTTGAACTCCTGGTTCCTTTTTCTTGCTGACTAGACGCCCTAGAGGAAACTTCAGTGAGATGGGAGAGTAGTCAGCCTTCCTACCCCTAGGCAAACGCAGTTTGCTTCTGTTTGCTGTGACCTGCCCTCCCTCCGGTGTGCCTTATCAGCTCCTGGGGCATTTGTCTCTAAAAAGAAAACAAACTGCTGGAATGCACGGCCCTGCATGCTAATGAAGTGGCCGAGCCAACCCGCAGCTTAGGAGAAGGTTTGCCAACCGGGCGAAGAATGAGCTTCAGTTTCTGACCTCCTGGCACCGCGCTCGGTGTTTATCAGGAGGTACATGTGACTGGTTAAGACACTCACAGCCTGGCTCGCAGGAAACAGCTGCTGGCGGCATGCTCCCCGCTTGGCAGCTAGACAGGCAGAGTGCTGGTGTGAGGAAGAGAAAAGCACCCTAGTAAGTAACTAGAGACTTTCCTGTGTGTGTGTGTGTGTGTGTGTGTGTGTGTGTGTGTGTGTGTGTGTGTGTTCCAAGCCACCACCAATTTTTTATTTCATGTGGACTTTGGTACCCTGTGACTGTAGAAGGGTGCTTTACTTGTACTTGTTAATTTGTGGGTTTTACTAACTTTTTAGGAGTGTCTTCTTTTTAGACACAATATAATAGCAAAAAAAAAAAAAATGATGTCTGTCTAGCAAAGGAGTTGATTTCTAGGTGTCCAGGATTTTTAGGTTCATAGCCAGGATTTAAATCACAGAGAAATGAACTGGTGGATAGGAGTTAATGGCTGGAGCCTTACTAACATTTTACCACTGAAACTTGAAAACATAGTTCCTTAAAATAACTGGTGAATTTATGGTATGGCTGACTTGGCCATTCCTAGTCAACTCTGAAAAAAAAAAAAAAGACTTAGGTCACTATGTCTAAGAGTCTGCAAAACATACTTCTAAATTGACACTTAGATCAAATGTCTCGTGAGGTTTGTATTCATGCTTTCTGCTTCATTGAACGTTTAACTTTATAATGCTTTCCTTCCATAAGCTCACCCACTCCCATGACATTAAAGCTAACACTTCCAGTTGTCTTGGGTCTTCCTTATTATAGAGACTTTGTGGTGCTCAGGGTTTTTTGTTTTTGGTTTTTTTCCCCCCTTGTTGATGTGGACTGTAAGTGTTCAGTGACAGAGCTTGCTC